GTATCCGTTGTCATGGGGTGGTGAGTTTGTAGTGGTGAAAACTCAGGAACACAGGAACAAGGAGACTGACTGGCAGAGAACGCATGGAAACAAAACAAACTTAGACGACGCTCGACGAGGATCCGACAAGGAACACAGACAAGAGGAGGGACGAAATACACTGGGAAGGTAATCACAGGAACGAGAAACAGCTGGGCTGAGTCTATCAGGAAACAGAACCAAACACAGAAAAACCTCAAAATAAATGTACAAAGAACTCAAATCACAACATCCGTGTCCATAAGCTGTAGCAATGGTGCTCAATCGAATGAGTTTTCTTCTTCCGGTCCACAGGACGCGCCATCGAGGACCAATAGCAGCTGCCGTAGTAAGCCGAGCTCAGCAAGCCAGCTCTGATTGACTGGTGTCTGGATTGCTTTATGTATATTGTTTTATAGTTGATGCCTGTGACTGATGCTGATGTAAAGAGACCTTTCTACTATGTAGTTGAATTTTGTTAAAGCTACAGTGTATAACTTTCATAAAGTATATACTTTTCCATATTTGTTAAAACTATCACCAATGTTAAGCATCTATCTGCTATTATTGGCAGCTATGCTAACTAGACTGAGCATGTTGGTTAGGGGTCCTTGGAATTGTCCTAACATTTCCCCCCTTTTGACTCTTTGCAACTATGTCACTTAATCATTAGAGATGCCATGACAGAGTTGGATTGGAGGATTGAACAGAACAACTTAAATTGTTTTTCAAAGTTGTTTTTGCCAGTTTGTTCATGGCTTCTACTTGTTTAAGTCAAGCTAATTTGTCTGTGAACATAACACACTTTTTTTTATAGATGGCAGAAAACTAGCTTAGAAACCAACCCGTACCTCCTCCCTCCTGATGTGTTGATCAAATTGTTGACTTTGCCTGAATTCATACCACATGATTTATATAACTGTCACTCATGCCGGAGCAACCTTAAAAAGATACAAATGACAAGATGCTAACCAGTTTTTTCCATATATGTTAGACTACATGATGCCGGCATTGACTCCATGGTTATGTTAGACGCGTACCTTCTCCATAATACGATATTTGATATCTTTCTAATTATACTTACTTATACAGCATACAAATGTTAGGCTTCTTACCTTGTAAAAAATGTTCGCTGCGAGTCTGCGATTACACGGAGGGCTGACAGTCCTTATGATTGACAGCTGCTGTCCATCCCCGCCATATCTTTCGTCATTAAAAATTACACAAAAAAATGACAAGTTTGATTTGTATCCTCGTCTGTATCCTCGTCTGTTTGTGCATCCTGAGCATCCTGCAAAGAAAATTCGGAAGTGTCAGATTTCCAGTGCAAGTGTTGTATGTTAAAAATACAGTGTTGATTTAGAAACCATATCAGGCAGTTCCTCCCACAATTGTAACATATTTGTGACATCACATCAGGGAAGGAGCAACAGATAGGGTGGGGGTTGCAGCAGGACCCCAGCCTGGACCCACAGGGGGCACACATGGAAGGAAGAACATGCCTTCAGGGATCCAAATTTTCTTTATAACATTTGTGTAAAGGAGAGTTCTCTTCTGTTAAAAACTGTATATGATACCCCAGTAGGTTACATAGTAGGGTGCCCCATTGTTGACTCATGGTTGCTAAAAACCTTACCAGACTGACTGATTTTAGTGACATAGTGAGTGTAAAATATTGAATAAAATGTTGTGGTACATGACTGGCTTTATTTTCACTCTTATATTTAACTTTATGACACACAAAACTACAAATGAATCATCCTTATTGTCTCCAGGTGCATTCTGGGTAAAGCTTGTCACCAACGTCATCATCAGTCACTTGGCAACAAATGGCAAACTAGCTAGAGCATTTCTACTGACTAGTTAACATGTTTTGAATTTGTGTTGTTTCATCATTAGTGACCAGTAGCCTGATGTTTCTGTTCTTCTCTTGGTTTCAAAATGACATAGTCGCTCTCTGTGGTGATGAAACTTGTTAGCGCCGCTGTTGCGGGCATGTCCATGTTGTAAAGTTAAATTATCATGAGCTTTATTATTTGGGCCCGTCATTAGCCCCGCCCCCCCGCCCACGCCGTCTTGTTCCGTTACTGCGTCATATGTTTGCCTGAGGAGCGGAGGCAGCAGTATGGTGTCTTCTGGAGCTTATCATAACAAGATAAGTTCCATGTTAAAATGATCATGTTTTTGACTGTTTTTTATGGTGTGTCATGTTGGTGACTGAAGGCTGTTATGATGACTTCAACACATTTCTTCAGACAGGTTGGCACGACTTAATGCTGTCCAAATTTTGTTCTATAAGCTGACTAATTTATTTAGTATTTATTTCTGACTTTCTTATGCTTTATCTTGTAAACCAGGTGTGCAGAGTAATTTGAATGAATATGACGGTGACACACACAGGTGAGTCTGATTAGTTTTGCTCAAACTACTTTTTAAAATACTTATTTATTATCCTAATGTTTCTGCTATATTTCCTGTTTTTCCTTCCAGGCTGGAAGTCTTCCTCCTTCATGTTGGCGAAAACAAGAGCAGCACCAAAGACACTTCAGCATCAGTGATCACAAGACCATCCATGGCCACTTCCAATGAACTTTCAAATCACACTTCACCTTCAATGCAAAGTACCATGAATGAATGACCTTTGTTGTATATTGCTGTCAGTGCTGTTTGATGTTTTGAAATAAAAGTAGATTACATACTGCAACTGGTGCGGGTGTTTTGTAGCATCTAATGTGGCATCTAATGTCTTTTAAAATGAATTTGGGGATTATTGATGGCCAGTAGTTTCTGGGGGAAAAAAAGTTTTTAATTGCTCTAGTGGCTTTTATTTGGTAGTAAATTGACAAATAAAGTGGGTAATGAGAGAAGGGGAAGACTGGGAAGCGAACCCACGACAGCCTCATTGAAAACTAGAGCCTCCATATGTGGGTTGTGCTTAACCACAGCATACCCTGCCAGTAGTATTTCAAAACTCAGATTTCTATGTTAATATATACTTCACACCGTTCTGTGTTACATTAAGATGTTCATAGTGTTAACTTTTGACAATATACACTAGTTGTTGGGTAGATTAACACTGAAGTATATTTGATTTCAACTACTGTGTTGATTCAACTCTATCACAAATAACACTTTCAAAAGTGTAACTTCTACACCATCCGGAGTGGACCAATATAGACACTTTCAAAGTGTTGAATTTAACTCTGTTGGAGTTGATGGAACACTTCCAAATTTGCTGTGTGGGACCATTTTTAAAGTGAAAACAACTAAATAGAAGCAATATTAGGTAGGTTACAGATGTCTGCTTTTAGCCTAGCTTTAAAGGAGCGCATTGGCTGTTTTTGATGTCTATCATAGCAGAGTGGGCAGAGTTCTGGATAGCGTCATGTCATGTGCAAAGGGTCAGTATGGCACCCCTGGGCAATGTTGCTCCCACTCAATTAATCTCCAGTGGAACTTGCGCAATGCAGTGACATGCAGGCTGGTGATGCAACACAGTAAAATTAAAAAATGATCCACATTTGTCACCGCTGTTGCGCTCGTGTCCCGTGTTTTGGAGTCACCCCAAATAGAGGAAAACTTTTGCCTTTTGCTGGCGCCTTGTGTATGTCAAGCCTATTGGTTAACTTTGGAAAAAGTTTGGCTCTCTCTTCCTCTGGATCCCAAGTCCTCTCGGNATCCAAATATAGCTACAAAGGAAAGTCTTATCCTGATGAAAACTGTGTATGATACCCCAGTAAATTATATAGTAGGGTGCCCCATTGTTGACTCATGGTTGCTAAAAACCTTACCAGACTGACTGATTTTAGTGACATAGTGGGTGTAAAATATTGAATAAAATGTGCTACATGACTGGCTTTATTTTCACTCTTATATTTAACTTTATGACACACAAAACTACAAATGAATCATCCTTATTGTTTCCAGGTGCATTCTGGGTAAAGCTTGTCACCAACGTCATCATCAGTCACTTGGCAACAAATGGCAAACTAGCTAGAGCATTTATACGTATTACGTTAACATGTTTTGAATTTGTGTTGTTTCATCATTAGTGACCAGTAGCCTGATGTTTCTATTCTTCTCTTGGTTTGTTGTACTTCATGTCAGATGGACTTCAAAATGACATAGTCGCTCTCTGTGGTGATGAAACTTGTTAGCGCCGCTGTTGCGGGCATGTCCATGTTGTAAAGTTAAATTATCATGAGCTTTATTATTTGGGCCCGGTCATTAGCCCCGCCTCCCGGCCGACGCCGTCTTGTTCCGCTACTGCT